TGCAATTTGCTGAGTGACAAGTGCATGCGAGACGGCGTCACGAAATACCCGGAGATGTTCTGCAACGAAGCCACTGGAACGGAGCTGAGGTGCACATCGGATCGACAGGGTGTTGGTATTTGCTCGATTACGACGCATTCAGCTGATCTTCCTGTGGAGTTTCAGTATTTTATACATCCGATGATTAGCGGGGATCCAGAAATGCTGAAGGACCACTGCCCTGTGGTCGAGCTCAGTGAATATTTCTGCACTGGCACAATGTCGCAGTTGCCAAGGGGGAGCGTTGCTAGCAATGAATCGTGGTGCCTTGACGCGGACTTCCTCGTTGTGAATACGGAGAACGGCGAACAAACGATGGTCGGCGTCTGCGCGGCTGTGCAGTGTGCTGACGGTGCAGTGAAGGTGCGGTATGATGGCGACGACACGTGGCACGACTGCCCCGAGGGTGGCTTACTCACGCCGTCGTCGACGTCTTCATCCTTTGTGAGCGGCACCATCAAGTGCCCCAAGTACACCGAGGTGTGCACCATTGCCAGCAACGGCGGCAGTCGCATTATGTCCCCGGTGGATTTCGATGCTAGAAACGCCGCAGAGAGCCCTTCAATGTACGCGGATGAGGCTGACAATACTGCTGCCCCAGCGGCTATCATACCGCTATTGTTGCTTGTTTTGTTGACGTCTCTGGTGGGGCTCCTTGATAAATAGTGATGGCAAAAGTTTCTGATGTTGTCCATTCCGTGTGGAGAAACCTGTTTCCGGTGCATTGCTTTGGAGGCATTCAGGTAATAAATATGCCGTCGACGTTCCCGTAACAGAATATGCATGTGTACACGCGGCCTTCCTTGGATTTTGAGGCAGAAAACCATCTTTGCAACCCGTATGCCTCAGTTTAAATTGCTTGTCGCATTTCTATGCGAACACATGTCTGCACATCTTGTAGCTTTGCCTATATACTTCTGTTTTATTGATGGATTGTGCGAGATTGACGATTGACAGTTCTGTGGCGTAGGGGGGTGCTGCTTGTTGCACCAGTAGGTGCTGTGTAGTCATGATTCTATTCTCGATCTCTCCGCCTTTCTGCTACTGCTGTTGCTCTTTACAGGTAGTTGTGGTGCTGCTGCTGTCCGGCCTGTGCATGCGGCGTGGCGGCATGCACTCGGCGCCGATGTGCCCTGCTGGCCGTGACGCGGGCACGCTGCCGGCCTATCCCTGGCTGCTCCACCACCACCCTCATTACTACATGAGCAGTAGGCGAGCTGCTCCTTGTTGCCAGTTGCGGCAGTGACCAGGAGGTTACGGTAGCGTTGAAAGCGAGGCTTCGGTGATGCGTGTCTGCACCGCCAGTTACCCGGCGCCCCACCAGTACCCACACACAGACACACACAGCTGCTGACTGTGGCCCCGCCGTGTTTCCTTCCCCGCTGCGGCTGCGCCCTCGAATGTGTGCACGCCTCTTCTCCTGCTCACACCTCCACTGGTTTCCACCTCCTTTCCTTTTGTAGGCAACCGTTGCTATTTGCAGCCACGCCCCTATTACACACAGGAACAACATGAGACACCGTTCCCTCAATGCCAAACTGCCGCTCTTTGTGGTGCTGCTGTGCTGTGCCGGTGCGTGTCTCGCCTCTGCGCATCATCAGTGTGAGTTCGACCAAATGATGAAACGGGTTGATGCAAAGCCGATCGCCATCATTGCGGAGGTGCCGCAGAAGGGCCAGAGGGATTCGTTGACGTACACATCGGCAGGGTCGGACAGCTGGGCGCCTCTCCGCATCGTGGTGTCCACAAAGGATCTTAAGAAAGGATCAAGGTACTGCAGCAGAAAAGGTGTGATGCGTCCTGATTTCAGGGGCGAAAAATATTCGTGCTTATTTTCGTATGGTGACGCACCTGAGGCGATGAATATTCTTACCGGGACAATTATCCCTGCTGCTGTGAAACTGCACACGGACCGTCTGCTCGTCCAGCCTGTGAGCGGCCCTTTAAAGGTGCCTCCGTTTGCAAATGACTCTGTGTGCAGTCATTTCAAAGTGCCCCGTAAGCACCATACACGAGGTGTGAGAAACGCAGACATGGTGCTGTACGTTGCGGCTGGGAGTTCATTTACTCCTGTGTGGGCTATTCCTTGCGCCACGCTAAATGGACGCCCCTTCGTTGGCGCAATGAATGTGGGCATGGTCGATATCAATAACCTGCGGCTCGTCACGCGACTTGTTGCCCACGAGATCGCCCACGCACTCGGGTTCGGGTACCAGCAGATGGGGT